ATAGATGCCTTCGGTGGACAGGTTATATATAGCTGCTGCAACAGTGCAGCAACAACAGCTGCAGCAGGAGGTGCAGCAGCAGGAGCATCAGACGGGGCAAGTGCAGCAGCAGTGGAGGGTTCAGCTGCAGCAGAAACTCCTACCGGGAAGGCGGAAGCAGTGTTTGCTGCTGCTGCTTCCAAGTTGGCTGCCTTTTGCAGCAGCAGCGCCGCTCTGTTATCTATTTCTGTTGAGACAATGAGTGCACAAGCATACGACGAGGTAATTTCCTTAGGAAATAAAAACGACAGCGAAGATGAAGAAGTCCTGGAGGCAGCTGGAATACAGCAGGAGCTCAGCGTAAGAACACTGGCTTTATATTGTTGCACTGTATCTACAGATGGTCTATCACTGCTGCTGCAGTTATTTGCATTTCTTGTGATGCTCTCTATGCGGCTGCTGCTATTTAGTTCATTTGCCGTTCCCTACCGGTGTCTTCTCTTTGGTAGCTGCTGTCTCTTTGTTGATCCTGTTGTTGCGACCGCTGCTGCTGCTGCTGTTCTCGTTGCTGCTAGTGTATCCCTGTTTTCTGCTGCGCAGCAGCAGCAGTTTCTGCTGCTTCTGCGTCTCCGAATTGGTGTGTTTGCCCCACACCCAGCTTGTCGCTCTCTGCGTTGTTGTTTGGGTACTTCTGTGGTGATGAGCCCTGGAAAAAGAAAACGAGAATGAAGGGAAAGAGAAAAAAGGGGAGAAGAAAGACAGAAGGAAATCTGTATTCTGTTTTTGTTTGCAGTCTTTCGTCAGACAGCGAAACGTCAGCGCCATAAAGATCGAGCTCTGCCGGCTGCCTCCTCCTCCCTGCTGACGCCGCCTTGAAGTCTGTGCTGAAATTTACGGGGAGTCGTGTGTCTTGCAGCAACAGTAGCAGCAGCAGCAGCAGCAGCAGCAGCAGCAGTGGCGGGGCTGCTGTAAGGAGCGTACCATGTAGCAGCAACACGTCTGTTGTTGTTGCCTTTGTCTCGCAGCGGCTGCACTTGGGGGGCAAACGAATTGTTTAGGCCTCGGGGCAGCACCTCATTGAACTCACAGACAGTGCACAGTTTGTCTTCACTACTACATTTTATAGATTGTCTTTATTATTACAGTGTACAGATTGTCTTTATTACAGTTACAGTGTATGGATTGTCGTTGTTACAGTGAACATGAACATAGCTTGTTTTGTTATTTATTTTTAATTAAAATGAATAAAATAATTATATTTTGATTGCTTCTTTAATTTGAATGATGTCTGCTCTAAAGGTAATGATGGGAAACAGCACTACCCATGTAGATGACCGCAGTGTTTGTGGTGTATGGATGGTTTGTACTGAAGTAACCACTCTATATATATTAAGTTATTTCAGTAGATAGATAAATGAAGAGAGACAAAATAACGAAAAGAGAGACAGGGAAAGCAAAAAGGGGTAGTCTAAGCATCCTACAAGTAAAGGACAACTAGTCGTTTCATACGAGTGTAGTAGTATGAACAGCACCTACACCAGTGAAGTAGAGAAACCAAGAAAGGGAGCAAGCCAGGCGGGAGAGCGGTGCGAGCACCCCGCGGTGCGGGCCCACAGCCAAAGGGGAAAACCGTAGACAGTCTCGTAGATATATTCTCCCGCTGAATTACCAGCATAGCCCTAACGCAGAACCCAGATATATAACTTTCCCCTCCAAGGTTACGGGTCGCTGTCGTTGTGAGCCTGTCGTGTTCCATTGGACTTGTCAGTCAACGGCTCCTCTCTAGGCTAGAGTGCGCCCACGGGTGCCCATTACTTCGCCTATATTATAAAGCTGTAAGTGTTCCTACTCTTATCACGGAGCTGGATCCTGAAGATTACATACACTACTTTAGATTACGTACACCGCAGCAGAAGACAGAAACAAGCTTGGGGCTGTCCTGTTGGTTTTCTTCATTGCAAGAGTGCTGCAACAAAAGCTGTGATAAAAGAGACCAATGGACCTCGTTTGTCCCTACAANTCTTCATTGCAAGAGTGCTGCAACAAAAGCTGTGATAAAAGAGACCAATGGACCTCGTTTGTCCCTACAAAAGACAAGCTGAGCCTCCTTATCCGCAAGAGAACATCGATGAGAGGCTTCTGCTGCTGCATACAGCTTTCCTTTACTGCCTGCTACTCACCTTGCTGTTGCTCTCCTCCCCCCTTTCGGGCCTTGGAGCCGTCCCCCCCACTGCCAGCCAGGCAGCACCAGGCTGAAACACTACTGCAGCAGCTGCTACAGGTGGTGCTGCTCCTGCTGCTGCTGATGGTGTTACTATGCCGTTTTCAAGACGCCGGCAATGGGGAACTCCTCAGTCTCTGCCTGTCCGTCTTGTCTCAACCCGATTTCCATCTTCTTTCTACCCCTGCGGCGTTTCCGTAGAGCAGAAAGACTTGATGTCTCTGTCTGTATCTCACTGCTGGGGCAGCTTCGTACGGCTGAAAAAGGAAGCCTCTGCCGTTGACGCTGCCTCAGCCCCCAGCCGGGTGGCTTCCTGTGCTGAGTTACGCAGAGATGACCTGGTAGCCTCTGGTTGCAGCAAGGGCTCCCAGCTTTCCCAGGAGTTGTTGCTGTTGCTGCTGCTGATCGCTGCTTTCAGCTGCTGCTGGGGGCCGCGACAGGGCGGGTGCTGTCTTCTGCCTGCTGCCTCCAGTGCAGCTCTTGGGGCACTCTGGAGCGGGCAGCAGGGCTCGATGGGTCTCACGCTGTTGTTGCTGCTGAGACGGCTGCTACTGGCACTGGGAAGCTGCACGGGGTGGAGTTGTTGGCCCTCTTCTGGCCTTAATACCAACACAGAGGGGCCATCAGCCCCCAACGTTCCCGGCAACTCTGCAGGCCCCCCTTTCCCCAGGCCCTCTTCTCGCTTGCTCGTTGCGCTGTCCGTACTTACAGGTNCAACTCTGCAGGCCCCCCTTTCCCCAGGCCCTCTTCTCGCTTGCTCGTTGCGCTGTCCGTACTTACAGGTCTCCAAACAGAATGGGATTTACTCCTCTCATTATGAACCTTAAGTTGTCCTGCTTGCATGCATGCAGCCAACCCCTCTAGAAGCATAGTTGGGTGGTTCTGGGCATCAGAAGGTTCTGTGCTTGCAGTGCTTATACGCCGCCCTCTTCTCCACATGGCGAACTCGTGGAGCTTCTGGTGGCGCTGCTCTGCAGTGGTGTCCGCCTGCTTTCCCTGTGTTGTTGGGTGTCTCGACGGGAGTGAGGGGCTTTCAAAGAACTCCTTGGAACCCGAGTGCATGCATCCTCCTCTATCCAGCCGTTCATGCCCCGCGAGGTGTTCTCCTCTCCTGCCCTCCTCTTTCAGCGTTACGGCGGTCATGCTGGGGGGCCTCTGGAAGTGCCTCTCTGGCCCCCTAAGCAACGGGGATTGTCTGTACACCCCAATTCCAGCTGCTGTTCTTCTTGTTCCTAAGCTGCTCGTTCGCTCTCTGCTGCGGGGGCTGACCATGGGTGTGCCGTTGGCGCCTATGGCATTCGACCGGCCCCACAGAACAGGGGAAATGCGGTTTTGCTGCTGGCCTGCAGCAGCAAAGGGGTCAAGGACGGGGCACGTCTGCACAGGCGAGGCATTTGCCGCTACTCCTCCTACCTGCAAACGGTCGACTCCCCTCCCCAGCGTATAGCCCTGCCTGCTGAAATCAGCGAAATCGCCGGGGGGTTCTCTCCCTTCACTTGCTTCAGCAGGCATCACCTGCTGCAGCATAGTGGGAGCAGCCGGGTCTGCGGGTGACCGCTGAACCTTCACCAGGGGTTGCCAACCAGGTGATCGTCCCCTCCCCTCCTTCTCCTCTCTTAAGTTGCTCCTTCGAGTCGGCACTGGCAACTCAGGTTGCTGCTGTTGCTGGTGCTGCACCGGATACAGCTGCTGCTGCTGTTGTTGCTGTATCCGGTAATGCAGTGGATGCGGCGGGTGCTGCTGCTGGCTCTTCAGTGGATGATGCTGCTGCTGCTGCTGCAATAGATACTGCTGCTGTTGCAGTGGATGCTGCTTCTGCTGCAGCGGATGCTGCTGCTGCTGCAATGGATGCTGCTGCTGCTGAANTGTTGCAGTGGATGCTGCTTCTGCTGCAGCGGATGCTGCTGCTGCTGCAATGGATGCTGCTGCTGCTGAAGGTCATGCTTCTGTTGATGCATTTGATGCTGCTGCTGCTCCATATGATGCGGCGTCTGACTGCCTTCGAAACCCGCGTTGAGCCGCTGGGCGTAGTGGACACTTCTCTCTAAAGGTGGTTCCTGCGCTCGTTCAGAAGTCATTTTGCCAAGAGCGCATTGAGATGTGCCACGGGCGACGCTGGAAGGTCTCATGCTGCTCCTTTCTTCGTTGCGGGGCCGGACGTGGCCGATAAAGTGCTGAAGCCCCATGGAAGGGGCCACAGCTGTGCCAGCTGCTGCTTCTGGGTTGTGTGCATCTCGAGGATTCCCCAGCAGTGCAACGCCGTTTGTATCGGCTTGCCTCGGTTGATGTGGTGTCTGTACCATCATGGGAAGGCCCTTGGTATGGCTGCAATTCCATTCATTGCCGCTAAGCCTTCTGTTGTCTGTTGTTGTTTGTTCTCCAGGCCTCAGTACTGCTTGCCTCAGCAGGATGGGGACAGGCTTCTGGTTGGGCGGGGCTAAGCTTGAGTGGAACGCAACAGCATTTCCCGTGCCCTTGTTAGGTGGTGGCTGGCTCCTGGCTCTCGTCTTTATCACTATGACAGGCGCAGCAGCAGCAGCGGCCCGCAATGGACGCGAATCACTGGGCGCTATGGGAACAGCAACTCGCCCCACACCCATAGTAGCTCCTGCGCGTTCCTGGCCTGCCTTGTTAGGCTGCCCTGTCAAGTAGTCAAGAAGGCTCCGGAGAGATCCATCAGCCTGCACCTTGGGGACGGGAACAGGTCTAGACACTGGCGAATGCTCGTGTTGCGTAGGCCCTGCTGGTGCTTCTCGCCTGCTGTCGGTCACCCACGAGGCCGCCTGCACGTGGCAGCTGTTGGGAGCCTCGAGAAAGTCAATGAGAGGCGAATCTGCTGCGGAAATCCTGCCTACAGTAACGTCGCCCCGTGCTCCCTCAGGCGTTAGGGCTCTCCGGCCGGGCGAAAATGCAATGGGTTGGGGCCCCTGGGGCTTCAGCTTGCGACCCGTATCAGGG